TTTTTTTCAAGCGAAGAAGTATTACTAGAGTTTGTTGAGAAGCTAAAGACAACGAAGGAGACAGGTCAGAAAGCTGAGGCTATGTGGGCAAACGTCAGCTCGCGGTGGTTCTCTTTGATGCACAGCACAAGTTGTTAGACCATGTAAGTAATAAATTAAGAATGATCTTATTGGGTTTCTAATGAATTTTGAATTAAGAAGTCTTCCTCTTTACAGTTTCTAATAAATTTTGAGTGATATATTGAGTTTCCTTGTTTTGTGTTTCCAAGTGAGGAAGTGATTGATGCTGATGTTGTACTTCGCTTTGTTGAATTTCTCATGAGGGAGGATTATCCACAACTTCAGGTTTGGTGGATTTGGTATATGCGTATATTTCAAAATTTTCGTCTGATACTTTGTACTTTGTGTGTATGGTTTTAGTTTGAGGCTGCTTGGGCATTGACGAACATTGCTTCTGGGACTTCAGAGAATACAAAGGTGGTCATTGAACATGGTGTTGTTCCGATTTTTGTCAAACTATTGGCTTCTCCTAGTGATGATGTCCGTGAGGAGGAAATGGTTTTTTGCTAATGTCTTTGTGAATTTTTCTTTTTCTTTTGGAAACAAGTATGTTGTAAAGTTGATTTTCTTAACTTGTTTCATTGTGTAAGGCTGTTTGGGCATTAGAGAGCTTTGTTACCGTTGCTCTCTCAATGCTTCATGTTTATTTTCATTTTTTAATTAAGAAAAATATTTTTTTTATTCTTTTGATACCTAATGTGTATCACCATTAAACATACAAAATTTAAAAAATTCTAAATGTGTCTCAAAGATTAAAAAACTATTAAAATTAATACTAAATTATTTTTGGTGATACACACATGGTATCACCAATAATGATGCTCTTAGCATGCTAGAGGTTTCAACAACGAAAATTCCAGATCTATTCAACAAAATTTTGTTTTCACTGTGAAACTTATACCGTATGTAATCAATACTTTGATATCTCAAAATCCTTGAAAACTAAAATCAATTTAGTAACAGGACTTTTGTAGTTTTTTGTGGTTAAGATACAAAATGGTTTGGGTTAGCTGTTGTTTCTATCTACGATTGAAGATTGTGGCTATATGTTGCAATAAGACACAATAAGAGTTGATATTTCTAGGGGTGGGCATTCGGTTTTTGCCCAACCCAAGATATTTCTATCCAATATCTACAAACGAAATAGTAGCTATATTGTAGCTATTAGAGGATCCATAACAATGAAATCCATTAAATTTCTTGGA